ATAGTTTTTCTTAACTCTTCCAGAACTAGCAGCAAAATAACAGATATAAACATAAGCTAGCCTACACATCTGTGTTGTCAGACCTGACTCAACAAGTTTTGGACTTTGATATTGACATCCTTTTATCCAAACAGGGTTGGCTGTTCCTAATTGAAGACAGGACAGGTTTATAACAGGTATTTAGTAAAACAATCATAAAATAATTGACAAATGTTGATAAATATGTTATATATAACACAACTGTTATACTATTTAAATGTATGTTAGTGTAACACTAATGTTATACTAGTTATGTTATGCATAACACAACCATTACACTAATATATGTTTTATATAACAGAAACTAGTATATGTTATATAATTATAACACAACCATTACACTAGAATATGTTATGTATAACACAACACACAACTGTTATACTAATATATGTTATATATAACACAACTCATGTACTAATAGTCATCAACTTGAAATACATGTAAATCTCTGGTCACAATTGTTCTAAACTATTCAATGACATCAATAATACATTATTATAGTAAATTAATCATAATAAAATAACTTACAGTACTGAATAATTCTATATACATGGAAGCCTTCATGGGGATTTCAGTACACAATACTTATATATACTTACTTCTGTGTCAAATATTCCAACCAAACAAAAATATTTGTCCAGTAGTGAAGCTATTAAGTACTATATGCTATGAACAATAATGGTTGACAAATGTGAAAATGTAACAGTCTGACATTAACGATGTAACACAATTTTGTTTAAGCTACAATTAATTAATAAATATATATTCTAGTTTACTGTCATATGTAAGCAAGCTTTGTAGCAATTTGGATGCTTGAATGTGTATTCAATACTTAAAATGATAACATCTTTATTACAGACTATCTGCACAACTGAACATTAAACTATGGCAGTTAACAATATAAATGCGGTATCTATTGACACATTTTTTTAGAATGTTTGCAACCTTACAAATTCCCACTTATGTGCATACACGGTACAATACCAATATTCAATATATGTTACACAACTCTTGCATAACTATGAACATGTTAGAACAAAGTTGTCTCCCTTCATATTAGTGTTTTTGATAATATTTTGCACAGCTAAAATATCTAGTGTTGAAAGCATGGTGCCACGGTTAATTCAATGAAAATACATACATGTATATGCATAACTTATATTGAACAAAAACAAGATTGGTCCCAACAGTACATATAAAATGGAAATAAAAGCTCACAATGTGAAAATAGTTAAACATCACAACCTACTATACATGTATATATAGCATGGAAACTTTGCTTACTTTCTGTATTTGTAATAATATTTTCAACCAATAGTTTTCACAATGTATTGCACAAAATATATATTTTCAAAGACATTCAGAATAAAATAATGTCAAAAGGAAAGTGTAATTATAAACCTGAGTAAGACAGTAACTTCATTCTAGCCGCCAGGCCAATACAGGAAACCTTGTCCTGATGTGCGTCAGTCCATTTATGCATCATTTAATACTTTATCTTATTTGAGCAGTGTATTTTTCTGTAAGTTGTTTGACATAAAACTAAACGATTAGGTAAAAGTTCCTGAAACTCACAATTATTTTGTCAGCCTATGGTGTTTGATGAAAGATCATGAAGTATATTAATTAATCAAAGTGTTAGAGTGGGCATAACCATTGTGCTATACTGACAAATGTGCTTTCATCTGTAAGAAGGATACTCTTCAATAATGAGATTATTATAGCATACAGCAGCAGTAAAGTCCCCCGAGATAACTGAAATGTTATTAGAAGAGAGACATCCATCAAAAGACTTAATGTAGTGTAAGACTTCCAGCTGTGTATTATATAAAACAATTTTGTGAAATTGAATTACGGATTAAAACAATCTATATTTTATGAAAGGACATATGACAGGACACCTCTGTTTGTTCACATCTTATATCTACTAGTCCTTTTGGTTTGTTTTTTACCAAACTTTTATCTCAAACATATTGTAATGTAAAAGTATTTTTTTTCAATATTATCATTTTATTTTAATTTTATGTGTTATACAGCATTCAACATGTTAAACTAGGGATGCTAGTGGAAACAAGCACAGTGTAATGTTCTCCTCAAAGTATAGTATGTGGTTCATTACACTGAAAATAACAATAATGAATTATTACTAACCAAATATACTTTCTTGTTTCACTTTTAACCCTGTCAAATATATGCCACTAAACATGAATATTAGCAGAACCAAGTTGGTCAAAACAACAATTTGTTTTAGATACTACTTTTGTTAAATGGCCAACCTTGACCTAAAAAGTGATAGGGGTCATCATGACCAACCTTACATACAAATCTGATATTTCAAGGTCAAAGGCTTTTACCTTGTTTTTTGTTTACACAAACTTTTTGTGGTCAAGGTCATAGTCACTATGACATTTGACCGAATGACTTCTAAATATAAAGGATTAATCCATCTCCATTTCATTAAATTGTGTTTTAGTTATTGATCAGACATGGTCAGGTTAACAGACAGAGGAATAGATCCCTTGAAGGGCCAAACTAATGAGTACTGAAGTGGTTACCCTAGAATTAACTGTTAGCCAATTCAGTAACCATGTGTTGGTGCAGACCAACCAATATGTGAAAGCATTATATCACATTTAGAACAAGCAATTATCATAGTATTGCAAGCAATCCATAAGTCCCCTACCGGTTAGAACCCCAGCAACATTCTGAAGGGTCATTGGCAATTCACTTATGTTTCCATTTTAAGTAAATGTTGAAAAAGTTCTTTAAAAGTGATCACAGGAAACAGTTTTTATGTGCAGACAGACGGACTGAAGGACACTCTACAGTTATTTTTTAAACATCCCTGTTATCAAAATATAACATTTTTAAAAGCAAAATTTTTAAAAAGGATATAACTCTTGAAATAAAGATGCAAGTTGTCATACCTGATGTGAGTGTAACAAAGAACAATTAGTAATGAACATATGAATAAAGAATGGTTATTTTTAATTTGAAGTAAATGAAAGTTAAAAGAACGAATAAGAAAAATTAAAAGTTTAAGGAGGAGATAACTTTGGAAATATGGATGCTAGATTTATAAACCTTGACATATTTTTATGATGTGGGAGTTTGAAGAAAATCCTATCAAGATTGAAGAAGTTGAAGTAAAAATAACCAATTTCTCGAAAAAAAAGTCTAAGTTCAAAAGGGGCCTTATTCTGGAAATAGTCTTGCTAGAGTATTGAACTTTCTCACAAATGTTAAGTGATAATAAGAAACATATATATGAAGTTTGAAGTAGATACATTCAGAAAAAAAGAAGTTATTAAAAAAAAAAAATATTTTTTTTTCATGAAAATTTTAAGTTCAAGGCAGGTAATTCTAATAAATTTTGTGCTAGAGTTGTAAACTTTGTCACATATAATGTGGTTGATGACTAGCAACTTATATTTAAAGTTTGGAGATAATATACCTTAAGAAATAAAGAACTTATAGTGAAAAAACTTAAAAAACTAGAATCAGAAATCTTGAAATTCAGTCCATTTGTTGCCATAGCAACCAGAATTTTCAACATAGGAAGATAAGAAAAGGATGTGCATAATTTCCAGACTGCCATCTACCCATATGTCAAGTTTCATAAAAATATTTTCAGTACTTTTTGCGTTATCACTGGATCCAGGTTTTTTTTTTTTCATGAAAATTTTAAGTTCAAGGCAGGTAATTCTAATAAATTTTGTGCTAGAGTTGTAAACTTTGTCACATATGATGTGGTTGATGACTAGCAACTTATATTTAAAGTTTGGAGATAATATACCTTAAGAAATAAAGAACTTATAGTAAAAAAACTTAAAAAACTAGAATCAGAAATCTTGAAATTCAGTCCATTTGTTGCCATAGCAACCAGAATTTTCAACATAGGAAGATAAGAAAAGGATGTGCATAATTTCCAGACTGCCATCTACCCATATGTCAAGTTTCATAAAAATATTTTCAGTACTTTTTGCGTTATCACTGGATCCAGGTTTTGTGTAAAATTTGCCATATTTTCAGTCGCTTTGTTGCTATAGCAACCAGAATTTTCAGGACAGGAAAAAAAGAAAAAGACGTGCATAATCTCCATACTGCCATCTATCCATATATCAAGTTTCATAAAAATATTTTCAGTACTTTTTGCGTTATCGCGGGATCCAGGTTATATGTAAAATTTGCCATATTTTCAGTCGCTTTGTTGCTATAGCAACCAGAATTTTCAACATAGGAAGAAAAGAAAAAGACGTGCATAATCTCCATACTGCCATCTATCAATATATCAAGTTTCATAAAAATATTTTCAGTACTTTTTGCGTTATCGCGGGATCCAGTTTTGTGGACGGACGGACTGACGGACGGACAGACAGACAGACGGACAGACGTACGGAGGGTAAACCTAAAGTCCCCTCCGGTAAACCGGTCGGGGACTAAAAACAGATATTTCACAAACATAACATTTAAATTAATAATGTGGTTGGTAAAGAAAGAATAATACTTCAAACAATGAGGTAAAAATAAGAATGTAGCTGTTAACAAGTGAATTATTCACCTTCATTTTTGAATTTGAATTAAAAACAAAACAATTGGACATTTTTTTGTGTTTTAATGGTAAACAAAGATGCCTTGTATTCAAGTGTTTATAGTTATACACAAGTTGGCACATAAGTAGGACCATTAATCGTTAATCTGCCTGCTGCAGACAATTGAATCTACCCATGTTACCAATGCAGACCAAGATCAGTGTTGTTTTGTCCAGATTGAAAGATGGGAAAATCCATTAAGGTATTAAGCTAAGGGTTAAAGGAACTCCACTGAGGTTATGTCAAATATTTTTTCCGAGATCTGTATACCAACTGAAGTAGGTCAGAAGCAATAACTTGTGTGCAAATTTTCAAGTCATTCCCACACATTGTTTTTCTAGAAAAAGACTTGTAAATTTAAATATTACAAGCCTTTGAATCTCAGTGCAGTTCCTTTAAGCTTGCTTGACTAATGCATGTCACAGAATTTAACTGTATAGGCATCAAATTTCATGTGTAATTTGAATCTATGTCAACTATATCTCAAATAACTAATATCTGTTACACCAGGTCATATATTTAATTTGCACCTACTTTATGTTTTTATGGAACAATAGAAATACCATTTCAAATTTAATTTGAAATATACAAGATTTGATAAATGATAAAAACAAACTTAAGCAATAATGTAATCTTATATTTAATACCACTAATCCTTGTACAAACTGTTGTTTTATTTATAATAACTGAATAATTTAAATGTCTACATATCATAATATACACAAGATTTTTTTTATATGTACCCTGGGCTGAAAACTTTCTAATTTTAACTGGCATATCTTTACATATTTTGAAACATATACATGATTTATCATATAACTGGCTTTAAACATAATAAAATGTATTTCGGTTAACATGACTGTGTCTTTCTTACAATCTTAAAAAGTTAGTTGAACATAGACAGACAAATAAACTGTTAACAATCATAATTCCCGGAAAGATCACAGATCATGGAAAATGATTAAGACAACCATTGTAGCGCAGAAATCTTTTGATATTGATGAATCCTGTCTTCATTTATGGTAAAACTAAAATATAGATTTCAAGGGCTACATTTTCTTACACAGAACAAGTCAGCATTGTATACAGTAACAATAATCTGTGTAGTTAATTAACATCAGCCATACACACCCTTACAAAATAATACTACTTGATGAACAATAATAACATAACCATTGTGAAACAATACTAAAGATGTTTAGGCCAAAATAAAATTATATCAAATATAATCATAGACTGATTCAATAACAAGAATGTTGGAAACATGTACAATGTACATACTGTATTGTATATGTAACTGGGATATTTTCATGTAGTAACAAATTTAATATAGAATATAGCAATGATTAAACTACATATTGCACTTTTAAACAAACCATGTTACAATAATCAATTACTGGTTCATGATTACACATTAATGATGCGTGAGTGAGCAGGTACCTTGTTTGTTACTATTTCCCCTCTCAATAGTGCAAAGCCAAAAAGAAGCTTTAATTTGATAAAAACTATATTGAATTCATAATTGTGATGTTAAAGCACTTTTATCGAAGCTAGGTGCTTTTACAAAACTTGATAAAAAATGTATTCATGTTTCATTATTCACTTTATATATATATGTACAAGTTTACTAAGAATAAAATAATCAACTCAGTGAATAGTTTTATGATGAAGGATTTAACAATTTTCACAGTTTATGATAACACATCAGTCTGATTTGGCAATGTAAATAGAGAATATTGGTCCAGCATGATACACATTGTTTCAAATCTATCTAATGAACCTTTCTCTGTACATGAAGCTGCAAGAATCAGAATGTATAAATAATAAATACAGTCTGTAAGTCAAAACTACCAGTCTTATACTTCCTTAACAATGAACACAAATGATGTAACTATATTGTGATGTCTCTAAGAGTGTTATTTACAGATATTTCAGATTGCTTTTTTTATAAATATTTCATTTAACATTTAAGTTATTTCAGTACAAGATATAAAATTTATTTAGTTTTACTATCCAGCTCTAAAGTTTGCCATTCATCATCATCCCCATCAGCCCAGACATCATTGTCCCAACCAGAGTTATTTGCTCCTGTTTCTATATTATTACTCTCATTTATGTCCAAATCTAAAAGATTTCCTACTAATGGATCTTTTCGCTTTTTAGAAGAATGTTTATTGGAAGATGTGTCAATGCCCCAGTCTTCAACATTCCATCCGTCAGAATCACTTTTTGTTTTTAAACTTTCTTTCTTTTTCATATTTTGACTAGATTTTAAAGATTTTTTATCTTTTCCATCAATGTCTCCCCAATCATCCCAATTGTCCTCATTATTACTATTTTTAGATTGTTTATGTTTGGAAGACCTTGACCCGCCCTCTTCATCATCATTGAGCCAGTCCTCTAGCTCCTGATCGTCACCGTTCTCATCAGCGTTATTCCATCCTGAATTTTTATCATCCGACCAACCGCCCCAATCATCCTCATCCTTCAACAGTTTATTCTGGCTAGGATCACTAAAATAACATAAATAAATCAACATTACAGTCAGTAAATTAACATTACAGTAAAAGAAAAATAATATCAATAAATTAACACAACACAGAAAATTGAACATATGTCTGGCTAGAATATATTTTTATTATTCAAAAATTAAGCTACTAAACATATTTATTTTAGTTTGATTGTGAGCTATTTAGAATCACTGTTAATCTCAGTTCCAGTTTACATTCAAATGTGGACACGGTTGTGACCAAGTAGGGCTCACACCCTTGTTCGGTGGGTTAAGGTACAGCCTTCTTTCTCTCCCTTATAACAACAACATATTATGGTTATAACAAGTTTCTAGGTAACTAAGCAACAAAGTATCATATAAAAAGTAACCAGTCCAGTGAGAGTATCATGTTATATTGTTTAACAACTGTTAGATTCACTTCCTTGTAAAATGATGGATGAAAGATCAAAGTCTTAAAACACAATAACAGCAACAATATTAAAGCTTAAAATCATTAAACACAGTTACCGTATAGCAACAAAATTAAAAGTTCTACACTTATTTATTATACATAATTGAACATTCATAAAAGATATTACTACAGCTGACTTTACAGGACAAAGGTATAATTATAATCTATAATTTCCTGACCAAAACCTTGATTAATACATTGTAAATCATTATATATGATTATTTCTCCCTGCTTTGTAATCATTATTTGTCTAAAAATACGAAATTATCATAGGAAACCAATTATTGACAAAATGTTATCTATATAAATCATAGGAAAAAAATATGGTGGGTTGCACAAAAGGAAAATTGATGAGAGTCTATTTTCTATTTTCAAACTAACAAATGTTTGTAAGACATATAAGATCCTCATAACTATGTTTTTGAATTGCTTTATATACTGTTATATGAACTGCCTTTGAGTGCCACTGTTTTTGTTTTTTGTCTTATAGCAGAGATCTGCAAAGAATTTGAAAGTGCTGGACCTTGGGCCGCCTTAATCTGAAAATAATGGCCTGTTTTGTAAAAAGTATGGGTCCTTGGAAGACAATGTAAACATCTTTGATTTATTTAGCAACAATATTTTATCACTACCTCTGATGGGTTGGTGTTCCACCACCTAGAAGTGATGATTTTTCCCCGGGGCTTGTGTCTACAGATCTCAATGTCGTCTTTGGCTCTCCCCATAGACTCTGCAGGTTACCCCAGCCTTTGGCCCCCACACTGGAGAGCTAAAATAGCAAAATATATAATGTACACAATCATGATAAATCTGAACAGACAATCTAGACAGACTGATTTAAGTATTTCAAAACATTTAGCAATTGTCAAAACAGCTAACCCTTGCATCAAATTAACACTTCTAAATTTGTATAATAGACCTATCATTATGGTATTACAAATGTATTAGCAATTCAAAGGACTTCAATACTGTTGGTGGTCAAATAACTTGGTGAGGTATACAAGTATACATGTACATGTGCAGCATGATTTACAACACAGCATATAGTTGATTTGACAATCTAACATCTGTCTAATTAAAACATCTGCTAATGTCAAGTTGATCCGATAATGTTTTAACACTCTATCTAAATCTGAACATAAATCTATATTAATTTAATAAAATAAAGAAAGTGTGAGATTAAATAAAGTTTGTATCTAATAATGACTGACAACTACAGTAGTTTCTAGACGGATTTTTTTACTCGACTACAAAACAAAAATCAAATTTCCAAATCAAAACAGACACTCCTCTTAGCCCATCTTTTGTTTTCAAGGAACTTGACAGTTTTCCAATAGAGAAATTGTCAGAAGAGAAAACCAAGAAACACAAGACATGTACTTCAGATTAACCTTGTGTTTCATGTTAAAACTGTAAAGTGTAAAGACTGCAGAGATTTAATGATGGAGAAAGACTTCAAGTAGAACCAGGGAGTGGAACCAGAGACTTTCCATAAGCTAGCTAGATAGCTTTCTTAAATGAAAATAAAATCCAATGTCCCTGAAAACTTACTGCAGTGAGGGGCAAACTTTTTTTCTTATATTTTATCATAATATACAAACATTCGAACATTCATAATGATTCAATAAAAAGGGGATAGCTGCTCAGGCTATATTTCCAAACAACCGTTTATATATACGGCCATATGATCTGTCAAAAATCTTTATACATGTAACTAATAATAGAACAATAAACAACAGGACAGTCCTTTTTACTTTCATCATAACACAAATATAGAACTAACTGTTAATCCTTGATTGTTGGTTAGTTAAGCCCCATTCACATTAGAGCTTACGACCAGTGAAGACCAGTTCACGATCACCTATGACCTCTGGTCGCAGACAATCTTTAACTTTGACGGTCATCTGTGATCTTTGACAGTCGCAGGTTATCTTATTTAGGTCCAACGACCAATTTCAGTCGTAGAGAGGTTTTTGAGCTTGCACAACAACTTCCCTGCGATCAAACAGGTCGCAAGTGATCTTATAAAGTCTTAGGCTGTCGCACGATCGTCGATCGGAAGTGCGACAATCTTACGACAGTCTTTACAAATTGCCACTAGTCACTGATAATTTTGAGTAACCTTGAGTTATCGTGCGATGGTCGTAGGACAAGTTGTAGGTGATCGCATGACAGGTCACGGGTAGTCGTAAGTAATCCCACACAATCTTGAGACCATCGTACGTTTGCTTATGACCTGTCGTGCGATTGTCAATGATGACTGGTCTTACGATAGTCGCAGAAGTAAATGTATCTGTGCAAAAAGTGTTTTGGTCGCAGACAATCGTCAGTTTTACAAGTCGCCGGTGGTCGCAAGTAATCGTAAGCTCTAGTGTGACTGGGGTTTTAGATTTAAGGGACTTTCTAACATGGCAAAGAGACAAAAACTGTAGGTGCCTTTCTGTTCTGTGTATCATGAATTTTAAGTGTAACCATGCATCTGGCTTGACTTTCCCTAACTTTCTCATATGAAAGGATTCATAGTGTATATCTCTCTGTATGTATATCAACAACAGTCATATACATATATATTCAATTATTGTAATTAGATTTGTAATTAGCTGAGAATAAAAACCCAACAAATTTACTTGACATCCTTTTCAACCTCTTGATTCAATTTGTGATTTAAAGCTGAATAAAAGACTTTCTAATTCTCCTATTTTTATCCAAGGAACAAAGCAATTCATATATATCCCTGACATCTAAACCTTACAGCAACAATCAACAATGGGAAGATATGATGATCAATTAGTGCTGGGATGAAACCATGTAATATCTTTATATCAGAAACCTCACTTCCTGATTACTATAGCAATGAAGTCATTAACAAGTTTTTAACATTTACACAAGCCCTGAACATTTCATTTATTGTTCTCTGTAAGGCAATCTCCATCACTGTACAGTATCAATATTGCTTAAAGTCATAGAAAATTGATGTGAATACAATACTGCATGCATTTCTGCCGACCAAATCACTTAAATTGACACCAATCAACTATATGTGAACAGGATTCAATACCAAATGTGTCTGGAAACTTCTTATCAGTAACCAATTCTCGTGTCACTCATTTGGAAATGTATTTTATTTCTGTGATATACAGTTGTAGCAGACATGCCAACTTGTGACAACTAAAATGATGGGAAAACATTATTTTGCTTCTTGATATAACTATGAAATAGATGTATTTAAGCAGCACACCTCCAGATAAGTCAAACAATCTTTCAAATGTCATTTAAAAATAGAAACTAAAGAAAGATATATGTATATTAATAATGTAAGAAATGTATAAATATTTAAAATTCAGGTAAAAATTTGGAATGTATTATGCAAAATATGACAAAATTCACTATTTACATCATCAGCTACTAAAAAGTAAGAAAAATGTATGTATATTCTGACTGTGGATAGTAATTTTGTTTGTTTGTTTGTTTCATTTTACGCCTTTTCCCAACAGTATTTCAGTCATATAGGCAGGTGGTTTCCTAACCATCGTTCCTGGAGAGTTACACCAGTACTAGACTACCTTCCTCCGTGCTAAACTACCAAAGCATCTCCAAGGCATCGAACCCACGCCAGAGGTAACTGGATTAGAAGTCATCAACTCTAACCTGTTAAATTACTTAATATATAACATGCCAACATCCTGACAACATTTTTACTGTAATGAACAATTTTGCCACTTTTCATAAAAATTACAAACATCTGGATGCATGTTACTTTAAATTATTCCATCTGGACCAAAAAAAAAGATTTCATAATATGGAAAACAGTTTAGACAAGCATTAGTATATAAACTAGATTAGTCATGAATAATTACCTTTGAAGCAAATCCACTCATGGATTCACCAACGTCATTCAACAATGTTCCTTCCTTTACCTGATAAAAAAGAATATAATCAATTTCTTTTAAAATATGATTGCATTCAAAAACAGTTTTTTTAATGTTAAAACTGTTTTTCTACATGCAAACGATTAAAAATTTGTGCAGATAATACTACCTACTTACTTAAAGTTAAAATGTAACCATATATATATTATATCCTTCTAATTAGGTCCATAAAACATTATAAAAATATGTGACCATTCTGTGTATGTTATCTCACCATACATATTGAACATATTGCATTAAACTGATAACACTTTATCAAAACCTCAGGCATAATTCATTACATCATAGTAAATATATATTTTTACCTATGAAATGTGCATTTTACATGTATTTATATATGTCAGGTAGCATTTACAACATAAAATCAATATATATCTGTTTATACTAATGAGAGCCCAACAACTCTAAACTCTGCTGTTCTCGGTATATCTTAATGTTTCCACATGACATCTTGTTAGTACAATAGAAAACTACTTCTATCATAGTGGGTCACTGATAGATAAATTTGTCAAAGCATTATTGCCTGATACTTTGATCACAAGTCTACTGTGGAACAGTCATGTCATGTTTATATATAACTGCATTTATAATTCTGCACATAAATTTTGTAATGTTGCTTTTCATTGGATAATCGTGATGTTTATATGGTTTTATATATATATGGCTGCTGTCACTTTATAAAGAAATCTTACTTCTCTAAAAATGATGCTTGCTGTATTATAAATTCGTTATACATATTTCTGACAGGTTATATGGCTGTATATAAATGGTTGTTTGCAATGTAACCCTCACCTAGCTGCTCGGGTTATATTTACAAACAACCGTTTATGTTACAAGGGCCATATTACCTGTTAAAAAATTTATAAACACGAATATACAGATATATCACATTTGAAACAATGTTGACTAAGACATCTGGCTGGTTTTTTAAAATGCATCTTTTTTTATTAATAAAATATGTCTGTTTCTATTTTACATGTTAATCTCTTCATACAAATAACCAATTTTAATGTACAACACAGGAAAATAGTTAAAAGATATTAAATAATTAAACTATATTATTGAAATGTTCAACCTCAGCACACAACTCTATAATCACAAGATAATGACCATACATTAGTGGCTCCTCAAATCTTATACTCAGACATGTGAACTCCCTGAAACTACCACCAGACAATGCTAATTTCAAAACTAGGAAAATCCATACATTGCCTGTTGCCTATAGTTACCTTGTCTTTTGTTGGTTTGATGACTGACTCATTCACAGTACCACTTAATTCTATTGTTTTCTCTTTGGCTACATGAGCGACTTTTGTTGCCTGAAAATATACAAGAAGAATTCCTGCTATAATGTTAAGTAGCATTATCTCAACACTAGTCTTTCCATTTTAAAGTCTGTGTCATAACTAAATCAGTTAAGAACTGTCTAATGATGATCTAGCCAATGGTATACAAGAACTATTTCCATCATTGTTCTCCAACTGTAAAGACTATTTTTAGGGTAACCCAAAAGTATTCCAACAAACACAACTGAGGGCATTTACACTATTCTAGAGGTTACGGACAAAGTAAAATTATCCTACATTAGTTCTTGAGAAAAAGTCAATCAATAGTAGTTCTATAGGCTCATTTATTAGTACTATGTAGTAATTCCAGTAACTCTTCTAAGAAATTTTAGAGGAGTTACAAATTTTTTCAGTTACCAGATGCTGGAGCATTCAGTCTCAGCTTGAACCTTCAGTTCTGATGAGCTTATTTAAAAAGTATTAAGTATAATTTTGTTTACTTAACAGTATATATTTTTGAATGAGTTTCTATTGACATATTGACAGACAATAAATTCATTAAATGCACATTTTTTCTCTGCTAAGTGAATATAAAAATTACAAAAGCACAAATATGTAATAAATATACATGGTGTATAAACATGTAGATGTAATCTTGATCACTCAAGGACTGAACAGGGAAAGACTGTTTAATTTCCAACAACTCTTGATCTATCCCTCTTACTCATCTATACCCATTACACAAATGAAACAACTGTAAATTATTCATGCTAGCAAAATTCCAATGCTATACCATCATCAATATCACACACACAGTAAAATGTCACTGAATCTAATCAAACAAAGCTCCTTCCCTCTTAGGGCATCAGCAGTAGCAGGCAATTATGACAGGCCTAAATGTTCCAATCATCCTGCAAGTTTATATAGTTTGACACAGACCAGCCAGAAAGTCCTTGCAGCTTAGCCAGTGTCTGTACAGGCATACCAGCCTCCAATACTGTATAGGCAGACAAGCATCCAAGTCTGTACAGGCAGACCAGCCAGCATCCATGTCTGTACATGGAGACCAGCCTACAAGTTTGTACAGACAGACCAGCCTCTAATTCTTAACAGACAGACCAGCCTCCAAGTCTGTACAGGAAGACCAGCCTCCAAGTCTGCTGTACAGGTAGAGCAGCCTCTAATTTTGTACAGCCAAGCCAGCCTCCAAGTCTGTACAGGCAAACCATTCTCACAGTCTGTACAGGTAGACCAGCCTCCATGTCTGTACAGGCAAACCAGCCTCCAATACTTTACAGGCAGACTAGCCTCCAAGTCTGTACAGGCAGACCAACCTCCAGGTATGTACAGGCAGACCAGCCTCCAAGTCTGTACAGGTAGACCAGCCACCAAGTCTGTACAGGCAGACCAGCCTCCAAGTCTGTATAGGCAGACCAACCTCCAAGTCTGTACAGGCAGACCAGCCTCCAAGTCTGTACAGGAAGACCAGCCTCCAAGTCTGTACATGCAGACCAGCCTCCAAGTCTGTACAGGCAGACTAGCCTCCAAGTCTGTACAGGAAGACCAGCCTCCAAGTCTGTACAGGAAGACCCGCCTCCACGTCTGTACAGGCAGACTAGCCTCCAATACTTTACAGGCAGGCTAAGCCTCCAAGTCTGTACAGGCAGACCAGCCAGCCTCCATGTCTGTACAGGAAGACCAGCTTCAAAGTCTTTACAGACAGACCCGCCTCCAAGTCTGTACAGGAAGACCAGTCTCCAAGTCTGTACAGGAAGACCAGCCTTCAAGACTGTACAGCCATACTAGCCTCCAACTCTGTACAGGAAGATCAGCCTCCAAGTCTATGCAGTGTTTATACAAGCAGACCAGCCTGCAGATTCATGCAGATTTGCTTGTTAAAGGTTAAATCTGTCAGAAAATTTGACACTTTTCCTCTCCCTAACACTTTGACAACTGACATTAATAAGCTTCTATCATTGTAAACATTGACCACTAGTTGTTACATTTACTACATTGTTACTACTATCCAAATAGTTCACTTGTGGGTATAAGGGATCAATGGAAGGATGGTATACATCAATCATTGGGCACTGTTATTGATTGTGTCACAGACTGACAGCATGTGATATCATAAGGAGTTCTTGCAAGATTCCCCCATCCATCATCATAACTATAATTACAGTAGAATATTCCACAACAAATTATGACAATCCATTTATAGCAGACTGTAATAAATAAGGTCAAATGTTCTATAAATCTCTTGACACATTGTTAACATTCTGCCTGAGTAAATTCTAACAGCAAGACAATCCCTATGTGTACAAGTATAGAGATATTACAAATATAGAGATGTTACAATTACACATATGAGCCGCATCACGACAAAACCAACATAGTGGGTTTGCGACCAGCATGGATCCAGACCAGACTGCACATCCGCGCAGTCTGATCAGGATCCATGCTGTTCGCTATCAGTTTCTCTACTTGTAATAGAGTTGGTAAGCGAACAGCATGGATCCTGATCAGAATGCGCGGATGCACAGGCTCGTCTGGATCCAATTGCTGGTCACAAACGCACTATGTTAGTTTTGTCATGGCGCGGCTCATATATATTCAATAGAGGACATTTATCATCTACAGACATTTAAACAATATGGAAGAGCATCATATATTCTAAATGATCTTATTTTTTAGACATTTTCTTCTGACATCATGAGATCAATACATCACTGACTGAGATAATGTATGTATCTATTGTCATAACAATATCACAGACCTTTATGTTATGTCTACATAATTTTACAATGTATTCAAAAACTTCAGTAGATGTAAACATATGCAAGAAATGTTACAATCTGTTCACATTTACAGCTTAACATTAACAATCTATATATGTCTTTCATTGTACCACAATTAAATTGATTCAATACCTGGTCTTAAAATGCATAACAAAACCTGGATTATAAAATTCATGTTTAGTCACAAAAATGAGTCACAGAAAATAACATCATCAATCCATACATAGAAATTACAGGTTAACTAATAACTATAGAACAAAATGTTACCTCTCCTAGGCCAGCATATTGTTTCCTTTTGAAGAACATTTTGTACTTTAACTGTATTTCTTCAAAATTAAAAAAATCCTACACAAGATCATTCAGTTATGTACTAAAACTGTACATCCATACTCTAAGGGCAAATACACTCACACTAACTTTACAAAATGACAGTCCATTATGCAATTTGAGACTGCTCAATTAAGTATATTTCCATATAAATGCTGTCTCCTTCGCAATAAAATCAGACTTAAAGTGAGTGGATAATGGTATCCAAGGAAACGAAAACAGTTTAGAATATTGTGATGAAGACTATGCAAGGAGGTATAACAGCAGCTACTGGATGATTTAATCATTGATAGCAAACAAGGAAATGATTGAGTGTATATAGCTCCAGGGTCACTGTCACATGACATTTTCAATGTAATTTGTACAATTTATTACCTAATAAAGATAATAACTAGTTTATAATTAAATAACAAGAAAGTTCATTTCTAATTCTAGGGTTTACTTTTAAGTGTATTTCCCTAATAAATCATTGGATAAATAAAGTGTGTACAATATGTGAACTTTGACATAGAAGAATATCAGTATCACAAACACTCTCATCAACAGGTGTCATGAGGTGTGATGACTAAACAAAGGTAGAACTTGCCAGAAGAAGTTTCAAACATTAAGCTTCTTAATTTGTGTAGTGGAATTGTGGAACAATTTGAACTTATCTAAAGGAATTTCATTATCTAAATGTTGAAAACAATGGAGCCAATATCAACACTAATATAGTACAACTGGTAGTAACTGTTTCTACCTATGCTACCAAGATGAAATGGTTCATCTGATCATGGTATGCCAGTCAGAACATATTTTGAAATTTCCCCTAAAAATGCTGAATGAAAAAATTGCCCAGAAACAAGTCCATTGAAGATATTTAGCAATTTAAGGGTCAAACATCAACAAGTACATAATAGTCTGACTCTATAGGTAGGCTTAATTTGTATCTACCAATTTAAAAGCTCAATTACATCTGTGACCATAGCATCACAATGCAGAGTAGTATTAACTGAAACTTAATGCTCATTTAAACATTATTTTGATACTTATAATGATGATATATTAATGTAAGTATTTACATTGATACCACTTCTGGTTAGAACACCTAGACAACTAAATACCTATGTGTTGTATCAAAATATCAAACAGATAATGTAATGTTAATCATATTGAAATCATGTTTTGGATTATAGCCTTATTATAATGTTTTACCCTTGAGAAAAAACAACTCTAATATATCCCAAATACAGAGTGATTTTAACACTGGCAATCCTAAGATCAAAGCTGTAAGACAAGACCAAACTCTTGTTTCTATGACAACATAATACAATCTATAAGAAAATGTAATGTCCTGACAATCATTGACACATGGAAATAGACATTTAGTGTAGCATGATAATTTAAAACAAGAAACCAGGAAGTATTGCAAGCAAAAATGGAAACACTTAAAGAGATGAAATGCATACCGTCATAATTATATGTATGTTGTTTTTATTCCTTTTATTCTGTTTCCTTGATAAACTAAATGTTGCTCACTAGAAAAGATGAAAGTGTTCCTAATATATTTCTGTTATGTTATTTAAACAATAGAACATGCTTCAAAGGATTACAAAGCATAGTCGGACTATTAAATATCATTAACTAAATGGTGTGAAAACATGCACATTATGATTATAGATTTCATTGTCAATAAAATCCAGATGACACATTCATATGACATGGAAAACAGAATCCTGGTTTGATTTTAAATTCAACATGCGCAGGGCCAGGGCCAAGTTAAAAACATTAAGAAAAGATCATTCTAATGGATGCAGTGTGCCGGTTTTTACAACTATTTATACAGTTGATTTGTAATCTTTGTTACAGAATTAAATTGTAAAATATCAATCACTGAATTACATCACTGTTGTTTTGTTATAATGTACC